TCAACTATTGCCTTTACTTTCTCCGGGTTAGGCTCGATCCCCCGCTCACTCATCATGTAGCCGAGGAATTTGCCGCCCTTGACAGCAAAAGCACACTTCTTTGGGTTAAGCCTCATGCTAGCCTCCTCCATGATGGTGAAGATCCTCTCCATATCCCGGACGTGGTCCTCCTTCTTCTTGCTCTTGATCAGGATGTCGTCCACGTAAGCCTCCATGGTTTTCCCTAGTACGTCTTTGAACAACATCCCGATCATTCTCTGGAAAGTAGCCATGGCATTCCTCAGGCCGAACGGCATGACCACATAACAGTACACGCCCTCCGCTGTGACGAATGCCGTTTTTTCTGCATCATCAGGGTGCATGAACACCTGATGGTAGCCTCTGAATGCATCCATGAAGCTGAGCAGCTCGCAGCCCGCCGTTTCATCTACGAGCAAGTCGATCCTCGGCACTGGATACGGATCCATCGGGCAGGCTTGTTGAGGTCCGAGTAATCGACGCACATCCGCCATGTGTCGCCTTTTGGGGCTAATACCACGTTGGCCAACCACTCCACGTGGATGACCGGCCGGATGTGCTTGATGCTGAGGAGCGTGGCAGCCTCCTTTTTGATGAAATCTCGCCGTTCGGCTGCCATGTATCTCTTCTTCTGCTGTATAGGCTTGGCCTCCGGCCGTACGGCGAGTCTGTGGCAGATGAGGTTGGGGTCTATTCCGGGCATGTCCTCCGGTCCTCTGGCAAATAAGATCTTAAATTTCCGGAGGACAGCTATGACTCCTTTCTTGATCTCAGGTTCTAGGTCGGCGCCGATGGACACTTTCCTGTCCGAAGGGTCATCCAACTCCACCTCTTCGAGCAGGGCAGCCGGTTCCAGACGAGCGTCGAAGTCAGCCTGCCTGGCTTTCTCAGTGATGCTGTTGACACGGGCTTCTCGCTCTCTGAACCTCTCCATGGCCTTGGTGTAGCAGGCCCTGGCCATGTGCGGATCTGTGCGGGCAACTCCCACTCCTGTCTCGGTGGGGAACTTGATGCATGAGTGCCGCACGGAGCAGATGGCCTCAAGATCCTCCAAGCCGGGGCGGCCTAAAATTGCGTTGTGGGCACACTTCAGGCGGACCATGACGAACGTCATCCGGATGCGGGTAGTATGGGGTCCATCCCCGATCTCCACGGGGAGGCCGATGGTGCCCTCCGCATCGATGCAGTCCCCTGTGAAGCCGGAAAGAGGGGTGCGCAGGGGGGCCAGCTGATCCTTCCTCAACTTCATCCCTTCGAACGCCTCCCAGTAGAGGACGTTCACGCTGCTTCCCGTATCGACAAGGACGCGTCGGACGATTGCATTGTTGACATCCATGCTGATCACCAATTCATCCCTGTGAGGGGCCGGTGACATCGGTAGGTCGGCCGGTCCGAAGGTGATGGCCTCCACCTTGTTTTTCTTAGCGGGGGGAGCCGATATGGAGCCCACATAGAGGGACCTCTCAAACTTCTTCCGCTCCGCAGGCGTGTCCCCAGTCTCAGCGCCCCCGAAGATCACCTTGATCTCCAACTTCTTCTTCCCACCGTTCGGGCCGAAAGACCCCTCCGGATGTTTGTCAGCACTCCGATAGTCTACGTCCTTCGGTTCCGCCTCACGCCGATCGTCGCGGCGCCATGATCGCGACCTGGGATTCGGCTGCCTCGGGTTATTCTTCTTCAGCAGTTGGGTAAACTCGCCCAAGTAGCCTTGCCGGATCAGTTCGTCGATGGCCATTCTCAACTGCTTGCAGTTGTCGGTGAGGTGGCCGACCCTCTGGTGGTACTCGCAGTATGCGGTCTCGTCAAGACCCATAAGCGCTTTTTTGTCTTGGGGCTCTCTTAGGATGCCCTTGTCTTTGATGGCGTCGAAAACCTGACTGACGGGGTAGGCCAGAGGAACGTGGTGCTCCTCCGGACGTACGCGGCCGGCCTCCGGATGAGCCTTCCACGGAACCATGCCGCCGTCCGTCTTCTTCTTTTTGCTCAGGGGGGATGGCCCGCCTCCGGGACCGAGCCTATCCGCCAATTTTCGGGAGGGGGCGGCAGGCGCGCCGTCCCTCAATCTGATCTCCTCCTCAATGGAGGCGTACTTCTGCGCCCGAGCCAGCACCTCGGTATAGCTGGTGCTGGGTTTCCTCCGAAGGTCCCGGTACAGGTCCCCCGTTGCTAGAGCACTGGTGAACATGTTTACTCCCAGCCGTTCGTCCAGGTCATCCACCTGGAGCACTTCGTCTCTCCATCTGACCAGGAATTGGGTCAGAGGTTCGTCCTTCCCTTGCTTCACACTTGTGAGCGATGTGAAGCTCTTCTTGGGGGTGGTGCTGGCAGCGAATTGTGCCATGAACTGCTGGGACAGCTGTTCGTAATTATCAATGGATCCGGGCCTCAGCTGCCCGAACCATTCTTGTGCCGGACCCCTCAGGGTGCTGAAGAAAAGCCGGCAGATGGCCTCATCGGATGCCCCCAGCATAGAGAGGTTCCCCTGGAAGCTGATCAGGTGAGCCTTAGGATCTCCGGTCCCATTGTATACTATCCCCTGGGGGGGCCTGCAGTCCCGCGGGATTTCTGCATTCATGACCCTCGGAGTGAAGGGTGAAGTGAGGGAGAAACGCGGCGTGGCTGGGGTGGCCTCCGCCCGTCTGTCTATTTCGGCTAATCGCCGCTCCATTGCCTCTAGCCGGGCCTCCTGTGCGGCCCTTCCGGGGGACACAGGAGGGGCGGCCTCGAGCGCAATGTTCCTTCGTGGGGCAACCGCGTCGGGTTGCCTTCGGGTGATATGGGCGCCGTGTCTTTGGAAACGTCGTCCAATGTTACTGGCGGCGGGGGTAATGGCGGTGCCCCGCTGCTCAGAGGGAACATCCGGCGTGCGTCCCCGGTGGTCATCCTGCCAACCATAACGGGGGGTGCTGGCGCTGGTGTGCCCCCCAGCTTCGTGGGAGGACGGATTTTGGCCCAACCTCATGTGGATGGGCGTCCGGCGCCCGGCAGATTCCGCTATCTCATCCAGGGACTGCATGCGGTGGATGGGTGATATGGGCGTCCAGATGGTGTTAGCCGAGTACACCTCTTCGTTCGCCTCCTGTTCGTCCGCCATTCGGCGCATTGTTTCCGCCAGCTCCCTCATGAGTCGAGGGTCGCGTCTGGCCTCATGGGGGATGAGGTTTGTGAGGCCACCCTCACCCCCAGTTGTCCCCAATGTCTCGGAACGTTCCGTGGTTTGCCCGCGGTTGCTTCGTCCGCGGGACAACTGCTCGGAGAGGTCACGTTGGCGGTTGTTTCTTGTCATCGTGCTTGCTGCGGGTAGATTCAGTAGCTGTTTGGGAGAGTTTTTTGGAAACCTTTAGTTCAGTTTCCCACAGACGGCGCCAGTGTTGAGGTTTATTCCTTCAACCTTCGAGCCCAACACGTAAGCCCAAAGATTTCGAATGGAGTGTGTGAATAAACTAGCCCAACAAGCAGATAATAGGGGTCAAGAAACAGTAAGGTAGCAAGTAAGTGATTAGGTATTATTATCTCTTAATAACTCCCTAATACAATACTTTTCGCTAAGGCTCCGTCGGCCGTTCGTCTTACAAGGCAGTAGAAATGCTGCGAGTAAGAACGTTATAGCTAGAGTGCTAAGAATAGAAAGTTGCCAACCCTTTACAATGAAATAAATGCTTCTATTTATACCCGCCAATGGGCAGGTGGCCATGCTGACGTGGAGGCCTGTGGGCCGCTGGTGTCCCAACCACCAAATCTTCAGCATTAAATGCACTTCCCGCCAGAATCTAGGTTTCCCGCCTAAATAGTGGGGACGTTCGTCCGTCCGGGAAACGAGCTAGATTCCCCCATGTGCCCCTTAAGAGGCTTCGGCAGTTCGTCCCCTGGCCTTAATGAATTCTCGCCAGGTGGACTGGACTCCCTCTGGTAATTACGGGTTCGCTCTGGGGACGTTCGTCGCCATCCCTGATGGTCCGTGGTCCTGCTCCGTCCCTGCACAGACGTTCGTCGCGATGGGCCATTGAACCTGAACTCCCCAATTCCAGACGTCCGTCTCTTCCCAAGGGTCATGGGCCTGCGTCCAGCCTAGTGTCCTAACCGGACGTGCGTCCGATAGAAAAGGGGTTAATGGGCCGGACCTCGGCCTGGGCCATTATCCCAACATAGTTGTTTGTATTTGTTTTGATATTTAATTGTTTGCCATTTGTTTATTAGTTGTCTGTATTTGTTTTGAGTTGTCTGTCATGTTATTGTGAGGTGTCTTTAAGAGTCGGAAAGTTGTCTGTAAGTCATATTTAGTTGTTTGTCATTTCATTGTGACTTGTATGTAATTTGTGGGTTGTCTATTGTCTGTCTAGTTATACATATTGTCTGTCTCTTTAATGAAACATATGCCAAAATGGTAGTTCACAATAAAGTAATGTATGTATGTGGATACTTATTGTCTATATGTGTACACTTAATGTCTGTCTCGTAATACTAATTACATCTAAAAAATAAACATCACAAATTACATACAGACAACTCAAAACAAATACAGACAACTCAAAACAAATAAAAAACAATTAACCATCAATTACAGACAGACAAACAACTTCAAGAGTCTTTATAACAAATACAGACACTGCACTTACAAGTTTTGTTTCAAGTATTATCTCTAACAAATTGTGTTCGGGGTTTAATAATGCTTTTTTTTGTTCAGGGTCCTAGTTTTTTCATTTTTCCAGTAGTGGATTATTATGATACTTTTCTTTCTATTTTTTGTAGGAAGGAAGAAGTAAAGATGAGAAAAAAAATATTGTCTGTGCCCAGAAATTATAACAATGCATATATTTTTGTGCACACACTTTATTTGTTTCTTAAAGTCTATCGGTTGTGACACTTATCAAAAACTTGTCTACACACAGACAAAACAAGCTTGTATAAAAATTATCTGTATACAAACAATAATGGTCTGAACAATTATCCACACACAATATAAACAAACAATTATTGTTTGTGTAGAAACAAAAACTTTATAGAAATTGTCTACACACAGACAAAACAAGCTTGTATAAAAGTTATCTGTATACAAACAATTGGTTAAAACTTATCTTTACAAATACACTTACAACAAACTATATTTGTCTGTGACCAAAAAGAAAGTTTAAATACACTATCATTTTAATACAAGATATTTAACTGTGCAACATAACTAATTACAAAAAATGAAGTATGTAATTCTCATTTGCTTTAAATCTCTCATTCTTGACCTTCTGAATCCATCTCATGCCACGATTTGAAATATCACATGCCTTGCTCCCGATTGAAAAAGAGACATAGTTTTCAACCACAAGCCTTCAAGATACTAGTATTGGTCACGAAGAGGTAGAAGATGTCCCTGAAGCAGTCACATGGTTAAAGCTCTTTTAGTTAAAATATATTTAATTTAAATGATACATTAACTTGACAATAACCAAGTACTACGGTATATTCAAACCCCATTAATAAAGAAGTTATAGAGAAGACATACACAAGCTACTAGTACTTTACAAGATGCACTCACATAATTGTCTATACACAGACAATTTGATCGGCTACATAGGCAAATTGAGTGGCGATTTATGAAGAAAAACGATTTTCACACATACAAAAAAAATTGTCTGTATCACAGATACTTTAGAATAAAGAAGTCATAGAGAAGACATACACAAGCTACTGGTACTTTACAAGATGCACTAACATAATTGTCTGTACACAGACAATTTGATCGGCTACACAGGCAAATTGAGTGGCGATTTATGAAGAAAAACGATTTTCACACATACAAAAAAAAAATTGTCTGTATCACAGACACTTTATGAAAAATTCCGATCTAAAATGTCTGCGATACAGACAAATCTTTATATTTTGTCTGTAAAAATCGATTTAACAGACAAATCTTTATATTTTCTCTGCGATACAGACAAATTTTTTAAATGATAAACATCCCAAATCTATTTAGTATAACAGTGTAATAAGTAGTAGTATTCAACATCATAACAACATATCATCACAACATATGTGATATACAAAATTAAAAAGGGAACATGTATACAATAAATGCACAAAAAATATGAAATAAAGTATTACCTCATGAATAATATTTGAGAGAGCAAAGTAAATTCAAGTTGTGATTCCTCCTATTTTTAGATTCAGATCTGCAAAAACAAAAAGAAAAGTGAGATAAAGAAAAGAAAAAAGATGGAGAAAGAGAGGTAAAGAGAGGAGTTATTTACCAGGGATAAGGGAAGAGGAAAAGGGGCTGGAGAATGTTGGGTGCAGGGAGGGAGAGAAAAGAAAAAAGAAAAGAGGAAAGAGGGGGAAGGAGGAAGTTGGGCGCAGGGAGAGAGAGGAAGAAAGAAAAGAAAGGAAAGAGGGAGAAGGAGGAAGTTGGGCGCATGGAGGGAGAGGAAGAAAGAAAAGAAAGGAAAGAGGGAGGGGAGGGGTTAATACGGATGGAAAAGAGAGAGGGTGGGGCTTTTTGTGTTGTGTACACCGGTGTGTAACCGGGTGTGTACACAACGAATTATCCAAAGAGAAAAGAGCCCGATGAGAAAGATTTCGCACCTCCTGATGATCCCATTAAGAGAAGAGACAACAAAATCGCTGTCGCCTCTGACAAGGCCGAGGATGACGATGACGACCAATACGATGAGGCGCACATGTATTATATACTACCTCCGCCCCAAAAAGAGCTGCAAATTTGACTTTTCTTAGTCAAACAGTCTCGTTTTGTTCACTTAATTAGGATGTCAATTTTTAATTATATTCTAATTTGGAGTTTATAACTTTGAAGAGATTTTAACGTAGTTTTTGAATATGTAAATTTTAATTATTAAAAACTGAATTAATTATTCATACGGAGGGTTGACTTTTATTATTGGTTGACAAAAAATTGTTGACTTTGCAAAACAAATTGGGCCGGAGGGAGTGTGTATGTGGGATTATTAGAGTTAGGTCTGAGTTGGTTGAGTATACACATACATTTGAATATGCATGTGGGGTTATTCAAATTTTCTTAAAAAAGAACGAAATTAAACCTTTATCCATCAATCGATTACCAAAGATCCACCAGGACATTAGACATAACCATGCTCTGTATAGGATAGGAGCGTCGAGTAAATGAGTAATTACAATTGAGAATAATATACTGTATCTAGATGTAGCAGCATCTTAGAGATGCAAACGGCAAGTGATGATATGGCTCCTTTTCAAGTGGGTATTTCCCAATTAAATTGCTGATCGATGTCCTGTCTATCTTTGTTCTTTTTGTCAAAACTCAAAAGAGAATGGGCTGGGTTTGGTATAACATGGCATGGGTCCTAACTCCTACGGGAGTACCATGTTTATTGTATTTAGATCTCTAAAGTTCGAAGTAGATTTCTTTTAAAAGAACTATTGAGAAAACTGTCAAATAGGCTATTAGATTTGTGGATTTGCCCATTATATTCTTGCTACACCAACTGCAATAAATAACAATTCCTGCGTTTGGGATGTATCATCTCGTATTTCAGGTTAGTTAGATCCTTAGTTTAAATAAGTGCCCTGAGTAGGGCTGTGCATTAACCGGGTCGGACCGTATTTTAGACCTGAACCGGACCAGAATGACCCGGTCCGGACCGGACCGGTATTTACCGGTCCGGGTTTCGGTCCTTAGTTTTTCAAGATTCCGGGTTTCCGGTCCGGTCCGGTCCGGTCCGGGTCAAACCCGGAAAAAACAGGTCCGGACCGGAATAGACCGGTAACCTATTGTTCCATAAAATATATACTTCGTTTTGAATCATTAGTCAATTTATATTTGGCTTACTACTATGTTTATGGCTTATTTTTGCCTTTTGTTATATAAACGAATATATACGGAGTGTGTATTTGGTGTCTAATTATTTCCTAAGTTGTTTATAATTTTTTTTATGTAGCATGTCCTAAGTTTTTTATTGATCGTACTTTATATTTGTTTGATTTTTCCAAATCACTTTTTATTTGTTTCTTTATTTGCAGGTGTGTATGTATTTTATATGTAGTATATTTTTGGACGTAATTTAGTTTTTATTACCCCACAATAAATTTTGCCAATTTAATACACAAAAGATTGTAGTTTTAATTATTGTGGGATACTAATTGTTACGATTGAATAGTTTTGATGACTATATTCCAAAATTAATAAATGAGCTAAACAATTATTTAGTCTATTTAGCATATCCGCATATAAAATTATAGTTTGAAACAACAACAACATCCAAGTCTTATTCCTAAAAAATTTGGGGTCATCAAAGAACACTCTAAGATAATACTCCGTATGTCTTTTTTTAAAACCGGGTCAATTAGGGTCAAACCCGGACCGGACCGGAAAATTCAGGTCCAGACCGGTCCGGACCGGTTAGATTCAGGTCCGGTCTTCGGTCCATAGAAAATGATGATTCCGGTTCCGGTCCTAACCGGTTCCGGTCCGGTCCGGTCCGGTTTTGGACCGGTGCACACCCCTAGCCCTGAGGCGTGACTAGGTGCACAGCCCTCCCAGGCGTTGGAAAACTTGCAACAAGAATGCGGGTCACAACAGATCCCTGTAAGCACGCTAAACCCTTGCTTCTCTGCGCTACTAGGTTTTTGCTGACTACTTGTGTGAGTTTAGCTGACTCACATGCCTGGGCCCAGAATTTCCGTATGTAGGTTATATGTTAGTCGGACTTCCTATGTTCTCAGACTCCATCAGAACTTCAACTCCCCTTTAATATGATAATACTACTTATGATTATTTTTTTTCATGCAAAGTCACTTATAACTCTTAAGATTTTTTCCTTCAGATCTTCTTCATATGCTTCCCTGTCTTTCTTCTCTTCTTCTATTAATATCTCTTCTTCTCACAATCTTTTCTTCTCCTCTTAATATCTTTGTGTTTTCCGTTTTTCCCTATGCTTCTCTAGGCTCTAGCCCAAGGCTGTTACAATGGTATTTTTGGATCGAATCGCTACCTAGATTTAAAAATTGAATTGTAAATTGTAAGATTTTAACAAAATAAGAAATAAATATATTTTTACTATTAGATTAAAGGAAACCCACAATTTAAAATTATTAAGATACAGAATAAATTTTAGTTTCACATTTTTTGTTAGTAATAAAAGTTTATACTCCGTAATTAATTTTACAATTTTGTGTATAAGCTCTAAGGAATACGTAATACTAGTACAACAACAACATCCCTAGTTAGCTTTTTCCGTTTAAAACGCGCTTTGAACACGAACCGTTTTTTTTTAACAAAAATAACGCGTTTAAAACGAAAAATAATGTAGGTCTGTTTAAAAAAAAAACTCATACTTCCTGTATAAATTCAAGCCTTAATCCCAAAAGATTTTGGGTCGGTTAACATGAATCGATCTATGATATCGATGCCAAAAAGAGAAGACACACAATAAAAGAATGAATACAATAAAGATAAATAAATATAAGGTAAGAGACCCACCGCCTTCAATTTCACACACCCAACAAGATGGTCATTCGCAATTTCGCATAACACCATGCTTCCTTGATTTTACAGATCTGGTTAAGAGTCCCCTCTTTAGTCGGTGCTACCTCTTTACAGATTATCTCCCAATAGTTTTTCCATATTTGCCAAACAATAAACCCTGGTAAGATTGCTAGATACGTAGCGTCCATCGATTTCCCTGCACACACACTCAACGCGTGAAAAAAAAGGCGTCAAGATTTTTGTTTGTACTTGTTCTATCATTATTCCGCATCTCTGCTTTATCCAACTCACAAGGAGAAAATAGGAAAGTCACAAATTTCTTAATTAGTGTGCCCACTCTCTATGCTATATCTAAAAAAAACGGAGGATAGTATTAAAAGTGGGGTGACCCCAAAGACAAAATCAATGACAGTGCTGCCCTAATTTCACTTGTGATCTCATGGGAGAAGGACAAAAAATGACACTATGGTTTTTGATGAATCTCGAATTGGACACTCAGGTTTTTAGTAGATCAAATTAACACAAGTTCCAACTTATTCGTTGCATTTATGCCACCCACTAACCTTTTCCGTTAAACGGGCGTTGGTTGATGTTAAGACTATACTTTAACAGTTGAGATTACTCATTCGATGTGCAAAATTTTTAAAGGGGATTCTTGGATGAATCTCATTCTTAAACAACTAAGCTCTGGAAAATGAAGGCATGTTCAATGGTGGAATTGATTCACACCTGCTTCAGAAGGAGGCTCAACATTCTGCGATGTAGATGGACCTGTTACATGGGGACTCTGTTCTATGGAAGGTGTACTCACAGTTGGCATTCTATCTGAATTGCTCCAATGATCCACCCAACTAGAATTTCCCATTAGTTGTTTTTCACTCTTCTTCTTTCCAGAATTCCAGGCCACAAGACACGACTGCTTCTATACCTGTATTAGACAATTTACTACAGAAGAAGCTCCTCTTTGTACCCAAACCACCCACTTTATCTCTATACCTATTACTCGAAGAAGCTCCTCTCTACACCTATTACCCGAAGAAGCTCCCCTGAGGCAACGGTCCAGATTTCTAATCTTATTTAACCCTAATGAAGAAGTTAAAATTGGTGAAGCTGATAACGACGAGTGTAATAAGACTTCCTTGACTTCCACAGACCCTGATTTCTTAAGCTTTGAAGAGACTAAACCCTCCCTTCCTCCTTAATTAGGATTCGGACTTACGGGTGTGAAATCCTTGCCGTTAGCAGCTAGACCAGAAGCCAGCGATTAATTACCAGGGGAGTCGCCGTCCTTGGATGTAGAACCATACTTTGCCTTTTTTATTGGTTCAGATCGGAGAGTTCGATGCGACCGATCGTAGGCTATTAGAGGATCCATCTGTGTTAGAAGCACTATGTTTTTTGAAGAGAGAATTCGCCCTTTGAACACCATCCACAGCTGATAATATCCTTTTTCAAAGGTCTAAGCATGGCAAAAATGACGGTGGAGACATACTTTTTCCTTTTATTTTAAGTTGCTTGGAATTCAGAAATGTCTGTTTACAAGAAACGTTAGTGGGTGGCTGAAAAGCAACAAATACGTTAAAATATGTGTTAATTTGGTCTACTAATAACCTCAATGTCCAATTCTAAAAACTTTAGTGTCATTTTTTTGACCCTTCTCCCGTGATCTCATTGATGGAGAGCTCAATTCCCGAGCTAACATGGTGTACATACATGTTGGCAACCAAAGTTCACCTTAAATAAAATGAGTTTAACAGATTAGCTTGCAACATTTCCATCTCTAAGAGCATCTCCAATGCTAAAATGTGCACGGTGCACATGTGACATGAGTAATAGCCACATAAATATTAGCAAATAAATTATCTCTCTCTTTATTTGAATGGTTTTATACAATTTTGGCAAGTTTTTCCCTGTGATGTCAACTGCAATGTCAACATTTAGACGATCTCCTTGATATTGTGAAGAAACAGTTACTAAGGTGCTGTTCTGTTCGTCTTATTCTTATTACTTATTACTTATTCTTATTTTATTCAGATCAGATCAGATCAGATCAGAAAAATTCAGATCAGATCAGATCAGATCAGATCAGAAAAATTCAGATCAGAAAGATTCAGATCAGATCAGATCAGAAAGATTCAAATCAGAAAGATTCAGATCAGATCAGACCAGATCAGAAACATTCAGATCAGATCAGAAAAGTTCAAACATGATTTATCACTTTTATTATTATATTAATTATTATTATTAATATTGTTATTACTATTATGATTATTATTATATAATTATTATTAATAATATTAATAATAATATGATAAAAAGTAAGATATTAATATAGTTATAATATTTTAATATAATAATAGTAATATAAATGCAATTATTAAGAAGACTATTATTATTATTACAATATTATAATAATAATATGATTAATATTATTATAATATTATATTATAATTATATGTAATTATAATTATACTTACAATTATAATTCTTATAATTATAAGTATATCAATTGTAATTATTATAATTATATCTATAATTAATTATAATTATAATTGTAATTAATTATAATTATAATAATTATAATTACAATCATAATTGTAATTATGATTATAATTATAATTATAATATAATATTATAATAATATAATACTAATTATAATATTATTATTATTATTGTTATGTTATTGTAATAATAATATTAATATAATAATATCGTTATAATAATATTAATTGTATTTATATTACTATTATTATATTATAATATTATAATTAATTTTAATATAATTATAATTATTATTAATTATAAATATACTTATAATTATATTATAGTTATAATATAATTATACGGAGTAACTACTTTTATATACTTATAAATATACTTATAATTATATTATAGTTATAATATAATTATAAATATACTTATAATTATATTATAGTTATAATATAATTATAAGTATAAATATTATACTTTAATTTTAATTATTATTATTATTATTTTTATAGTTACGATTATAATTATAATTTTATTTAAGTTATATTTGTAATTGCAATTAGAATAATTATAATTATAATTATAATCATAGAAATATTCAAATCAGATCAGATCAGAAAGATTCAGATCAGATCAGACCAGATCAGAAACATTCAGATCAGATCAGGAAGATTCAGATCAGATCAGATCAGAAAGATTCAGATCTGATCAGATCAGAAAGATTCAGATCAGATCAGATCAAAACTTAAAAAATTCAGATCAGAAACATTCAGATCAGACGAAGAGAACAGCTTTTAAATCTGTATAAAATCAGGAGAGAAAGAATTTATTTACGGATATCTCTCGTTCTTCTCTTTGCCTGAAAAAGTGACCTAATCTGAATATTTTAAGGCCTTTGCCTTGAAACCTTGTTTTTTGAATGTGCATTTGCTTCTGTATAATGTAGTGCTTCAAATGTTTTATTTACATCGTCGCTAGTAAATCATAACAATGGTGCACCAAGCTTGTAACTATACCCATTTCATTTTCAAGAAGCGGCTAAGGCTGATTCTGCAGATCTTCTTTCTCTTCTACAATTGGGATATTCAGCTTCAGAATCCTCCTTCCCGGTTATTGAGTTATTCTCTCATGTGCTGCCTTATGCCCCCCTTATTGCCGTGCCGTTCGACTTTTCCGTTCAATCGCAAACCTTATCGGTGAGCTTTAGCTGGCCGGTCGCCCAGAACAAATCCCATCTATGCTCCTTAAGCTTCTATGTTATTCTACAGTTTTGACTCCTTAAAATTTCTATCATTTCTTAGGTATTCAATTCATATTGGGCTAATTGTTGTTTGATATTGTTATTGGCATGAATTTTGATTTCAGATTATGAACTGATTTTGTCGTAATTTGACGGGTGTTGTCAAGTACCAGAGTCAGTTGGGGAAGAAGCTCCAGAATTAGCTACTGACTGCACTGACCTTTCTTGCTCCCATCATACGCGCAGATGACAAATTCTCATAAAGGGATGAACGTGTGAAGTACTTGAAAAGGTAAATGAATTACTTTATACCTTATAAAGATTATAAACTTAATTTTTCCTTTTTGATATATAAATTTCAAAAACGTGCTAATATAATAATAAAACCGATTGTCAAGCCGCAGATACACAAATGATGTCCACAGATCCATCAGCCACATCTTCAAAAAGAAGAACAACAACCAAATAACCTTCTGCAAAATAAAAAAAGGAACAAGAAGTCATATTGAGGCACTACATACTCAATCAGATGTAGCAACAGAGTGGATTGTGAAATGCTTTAGCTTTAGGCCCTGGAAACTTACTGTATTTTGCAATTTAAGCTTTGAGTGTGTATTTGTACTACTTGACTTTTCTAGATGTAATAGCCGTTGACCATCTTGATTTACTTAATCTGAATATGGTTAGATTCTTAATATGAATGTGTGTAATTAATATGACATTCACCGCTTAAAGTTTGCTATGTATGTGTGTATAATGTTCTCATGTGTCTAGATTGATTAATAAAGAGCAGGTACGTGAAGATTTAATAGTTTCAGGTCATCGTATTGTGTTATTAGCATATAAATACTCTCTGCATGTCAATACAACAAAATTCATGTTTCAATTTGTTTTTTGTAAAAAGAAGATAATCCAGGTTTGTGACTCACAAATCTCTGCATGACTTACAAATTGTGAGTGACCATTAATAATTTTAATTATTAGCTTATTTTATCCCAAACTATCATCAAATTCACAAATCTATCCTATTCTTTTATTTTATCAAACTAAGACTCAAACTTCATCTTTTTCAACAATTATGCTTTTCTTTTTTCTTTTTACAAAATTACACATTTTTATCAATACCAATTAGATATAAGCAATACAAATTTGTAAACTTGAAAGTTGAAACTATACAACATCCAAGCCTTAGTCCCAAACGATATTGGGGTCGGCTAACATGAATTGATACATGATATCACCAATAGGAAAAGAAAGAAAATAAAGATAAAAAAGATAAGCTATTATAAATAAAAGATAATATAAAAGAGATGAATATACATATAAAATATAAAATAAATAGGATAAAGTAATATTTATATATAAGGATAAAAATATAAAAGAAAAAGAAAAAAAGAAGAAAAAAAAAAAGAGGGGAAAAGATGATACAAGATCACTCCTCCACACGAATACCCGCCCTCCATTTTGCTCTCTCCAAAGCCATACCCTCATTCAATCCAAGAAGAAGCATATCACTTTTGACTTCCCTAACCCACGTCTGTTTGGGCCTTCCTCTCCCTCTCTTCCCTACCTCTTCTCCACACATCTCAACTCGTCTGACAGGTGCATCACTCGGTCTTCTATGCACATGACCAAACCACCGTAGGCACGACTCCCGCATCTTATCTTCAATAGGTGCTACTCCCACCCTTTGTCTGATTGTCTCATTCCTCACGCAGTCCTTTCTAGTATGTCCACACATCCAACACAGCATGCACATCTCTGCCACACTCATCTTTTGAATGTGACATTGTTTCACCGCCTAAGACTCTGTGCCATACAGGAATGTAGGCCTAATTGCTGTCCTATAAAATTTACCATTCAATCTAGTCGGCATTTCGTATAGAAATCCTGACGCACTCTTCCACTTCATCCACCCCTGTTATGATTCTATGGGATACATCTCCATCTAACTCACCGTCCTTCTGAATTATGGAGCCAAGTAACGGAACATATCGCTGACCGGTATCTCCTTACCATCTAAAGTAATTCCGCTATTACCATTGCTTCTACCTCCACCAAGCTTGCACTCCATGTACTCTGTCTTGCTCCTACTTAGTCTGAAACCCTTGTTCTTCAATGTTTGTCGCCATACTTCCAACTTTGCTTTAACCCCTGATTGCGTCTCATCAATCAATACAAAATCGTCGGCAAACATCATGCACCACGGTATATCGTCTTGAATTGACTTTGTAAGTTCATCCATGACTATGGCAAATAACAAAAGGGCTCAGAGCCGATCCTTGGTGCACTCCGATAGTATAGGGAACCCCGCAGTCCTCCCTACACTAGTACGGACACTTGTAGTATAATCCTCATACATATCCATGATGATGCTGATATACTTGCGTGAAATGCCTTTTCTAGTTAAGACCCACCAAAGAACTTCTCGAGGTACCCTATCATATGCCTTTTCTAATTCAATGAACACTAAATGCAAATCCTTATGAGCGTCTCTATACTTCTCCATAAGTTACCGAAGAAGGTGAATAGCCTCAGTTGTTGAGCGACCAGGCATAAAACCGAATTGATTCTCTGAAATCTTCACCGTTCTTCGAAGTCTTTGCTCAATCACTCGCTCCCAAAGTTTCATGGTATGACTCATAAGCTTAATCCCTCGATAGTTGGCACATTCTTGTACATCACCTGGCCTTTATTCTTAAATAAGGGAATAAGAGTGCTCTTTCTCCAACTTGTTGGCATCTTGTTGTTTCTCCAAATCTTGTTGAAAAAATTTGTTAACCACTCGATGCCTCTCTCTTCCAAACTTCTCCAAGCCTCGATCGG